TTAGTTGTCCTTAGGTAGAGTCAGAATGAGCAATCAGTGAATTAGTGAAATGTGGTAGTACAGGTTTCAGTACATGCATTTATTTCACAGAGACCCTTTTGAGCTCTCACCACATCCCACACCCTCGCACAAAGATTGACTCAATTGTCTCTCTTTCTCCCTTTCCATTCTTTCTTTTATCTCTTTTTGTCTTTTCTTGTTCTACTAATGTAAATAGAACTGAATTAGCGCTCTCCGCAGAGTGACTCATGTGACATAAAGACTATTTATTGTTGGCTGAAATGATGAATTGAAATTTTTTTCCTTTTTTTTCCTCTAAATGTGCTGTCTCGTACCACAGATAACAACATTTGATTCTGTTACTTTGCATAACGTTAATCCGAAGAACCAGCTTATTATTCTCGGGCTCCTTTCATTTTAGAACTGGTGATTTTGTAAATATAATTTTTTGCCCACTCTCTCTTTCTAAGGCAATCTCATCCATTGTGAATCACTTTGAAATCCTCCTATCTGAGAAGAGCGCTGCGCTATTACTCAGGTTTATATGGGAGTCGTTAACTCTCTGTGTGGTGGCCCTTTAAAGCCAAAAAAAGATCATCTGGAGTGCATTGTTAATCTTCAGAGGACTTTTGAATGTTAAAAGTGTCTGTATTTATTCTCCTGCACCTTAAAGCCTGCTTTTATAGACATGCTGTTTATTAGTCACTGTAATTCTCCTGTTCTCCTCAGTACCTGCATCCGGGAGGTAGAGCAGCAGATCAGACGCACGGAATCGGATAACATTTCAGCTAGTGTGGCCAGGCTAACGTGTTTCAAATGGTGCAAATCTGGCATTTTGATTTATTAAGCAATCCCAGCTATTAAATATTTGAGCATGCCGGGTGCTGCACTTCTTTATTTTGTATGCATTGTAACTTATGGCAATGATGAATTAATTTCAGTGGAGCACAGAATTTGTGATTATTTTAAACAGTATCCATATCTTAACTGGATCAGAGTGGGAGTAGCTAGCAGACTGTGAAATGTAATTTTTAGTTTTTTTCTTTCCTCCTCCACTGTTAGAATTCCTAGCACCTGAGCAATGCACTGATAATGAACAGACTTCATGAATGACAGAGTGTGCCTTTTCTGATGCTTTCAGGCTCTGTTACCTGTCCTTTTTAGGTGGAGCGGGCAGCTACTTTAGCCAAAGGGGCATCTTTTATAAAAAAAAGTGTTGAAAGTAATGCTGAAGCATGAGACTTGTTTCAGGCATTTGGCTATGATTTCGGAAAAGTCGTATCGAGTGAATCACTCTCATAAAAGCATCGTCATGTTAGCTAATGAGTCAACATTAGCGTCTTTGAAGTCAGCTTATCGAATTGGTTTGTGCGTGTGTGATCATGCGAGCGTGTGGTGTGTTTGCGTGGAACATCTGGGCTGTAAGTGGCTCTCTCCCCTCCCACACCTTCCTCCGTCTGCTCATATATATCCCCCCAAAATCGCAGCCGTAGCCCTGAATGCGATGTCAGGATTCTGTCTGGGATTTTTCACCTGATGGAAAAGACAGAATTGCACGTCGTATGAATTTGAGAGCAAACATTTACACAGACAGTGTGGCACTGTTACAGCATTCCAAAAAGAAGAGAAAAAACAAAGAGACGGGGCAAATAGCTCTTTATATAAGAGCTGCAGTGATTGGCTGTTATCAAGTCAACTCTTTTTAAGGCAGGTCTGGAGCTTCTGTGAGGTCACCTTTTGTTTGACTGTCTTTCATTTAGCTAATGTATGTAGAATTTACACAGCAGTGATTGTCACCATGCTGATGGATCTTATGATTGGTGGCACACTTTTGATTAACATCTCAGTTATGAAAACACAGTTTTTTGGACTGTGCCAGTTTGCACACAAACCTCATTGCTGTGCATGAGAAGGTAGCCTAACTGTAAAGAAGTTGCAGGCACAGCAGCACTAACAGGAGCTGTAAATATTGTTCCAGCGGGGCTAACCTTCTGCCCCAGTGGGTTTTTCAGGAAAGGACGGTCTGATACAGTGACAGCCTGCTAGCCCTTAGGGCCAGTGTGTATGTGTGTCTGCAGAGACAGAGGTGCATTTGATGAACACATCTCTCTCTCTCTCTCTCTTGCTCTCTCTCTTTCTCTCTCTCTCCTGTCACTGTCCATCTCTCTCAGCCCGTACAGTGAGTGGTGACACTCCTTCAGTCCGTGGCGTGCACACACTCCTCCCCTGCTCCGTGGCGTGGAAACGAATGCAGGCGAGGGTGTGTTTCTAATTGACATTGTAATTGGCAGATTTGAATGCTGCTGTTAGATGGCTAATTAATTTATCTCACCGCTGTCATTAAGGTTAAAGCACCATCTGATCTCCCTGAATACACTTTGCATACATCTGCATGCCTATTATTTCCAGTTACACACCTACATTCAACTTTTGGATAATGTGGATTTGGAGGTAAATATGGTGTTAATGATGTGTGCGTCTTTAATGATCTCATCAGTATTCAGGGGCATTAATAGAAAATCAGGTTCTGATTTTGAAGAAAATGTGGCAGGCGTATTATACATTTTTTATATTTTTTCTGCAAAAAAAGAAAAAAAGGATAGCTGAAGCCATTCTTCTGGGTAAAATGTTAATATTACATTGGAATTTAATTTCTACACAAAAAATTACCATCTTTTCTTTTTTATATTATATATGAATTTCCAATTTATTAAACAAGATCAGAATGATTTTAATTGGAAGTTTGTAGAGTTGATTTTGTACAAACTTTTTTTTTTCCGAAAGTCTTTTCTTATCTGCGTTATCTTCAAGTTATGCACTTCATTGCTGTTAAAAAACACTCCATTAGATTGTTCTTAAAATTCGAGTAAAGGCAATCAGGCACTCTTTCTCTGAATATTTAAAACACAGGGCATGTAAAATTTATGCCTAATTTGAATACTCATTAGTCGCCTGATCTCTACGGCAGCTTTGTGTTTCTTCAAGAGAGATTCATCAGCATCTCAGTCACTCTTTCTCTTGCTCCTTCTCTCTCACTCTGTTTCTCTTTACCTCTCTCTCTCTGTCTCTCTCTCTTTCATTCTCATTCACTCCCTCTGTCAATGCTGTTTTAGTAGCTGGCATTGTTTGTGGCTGAGCGTGTCTTGTTGGTTGTTTGTTGACTGTGGTGTGGGCAGCTGTCACCCTGTGTGTAACTTAAGTCGTGTTTTCTGCCTAGCGTCCTTCTGGATGGCGTGAAAGCGCTCCCTCCACTGCCTCTGCCTCCCTTTTAAGCAGAAGAAAGCCCCGTGCCGTTAAAATGTCATTTACTGATCTGAAAAGCAGCCACGGATTAGAAGACATCTTCTTTGTTGTGTCGAGCATTTGATTATCGGTGTTATTTTTCAACGCTAAGCTGTCTCGCTACTGTATACTCTTATTCAAAGCGCCGTACTAATTGCCCATGCAGAGCAGGTGACAAAATTGATGTGCTTAATCTAGGCGAAGGAGGATGGCAGCCCTGTCAGAGAAATAAATGAAAATATTGCTCAAAAATGAATCCGCTCTAAACATTACATGAGATTAGGGTTATTATACAGGGATGCAGCCCCCATTAATATAATTAATATTGTTTATATTTTAATAAGATGAAATATGAGACGTCCAGTAATCATTTCCTGAGAGGAACAAAATGTGTAATGGGGAAGAAAGGAGGAAAAAAAGGTGTTTTAATGAGTATATGAATGACAGAGAGGCGATGAGGTTTGAGCTGCGGAGCGTGTGAATTAAAAAGGCTCTTGTGGGTATATTAGCTATGCAGAACACACCTTGAATTGCATTTGTTGGGTCAGGCCGATTCTTTTATTTATTGCGAGGATCTCCACAGATCTTGGCAGGACTCCTCATTGCTCCTTTGAAAGTACAGAGCATTTATGCAGGGAAAATGATAAAACATTTATTACTAGAGAGGAGGTAATATGCATAATTTATGCTGTTTTTAGCACAATCATTAGTGATATTCGTGATAGATTTTTCTTTTCTTGCGTCTGCTCCCCCCCCCCTGTTTTTCATATCTAATAGATGCCGGTGAAATTAATTTAATATCCTTCATTTATTTGTCCGTGTTAAAAATCGAGGGTTAAGACACCCCGTACCGTTTGATTTGGGCTCTCTGGCCGCAGTAATTGTGCTCTGGGGATGGGTGCTGCACTAAATGTTTTAAATGTCACCAAAAATAATTGAATATCGCAGGTTTGATTAAAAAAAGAGAGAAAACTAGTCAATATGTGTCAAGAGGATTTTTTTCTCCTTAAGAAGCCTTGCAGGCAAATTTTATTTAGCTTCAGTTAGAGGAGAAGACCATTGTATCGTTCATCACGGGATGGTACCATGTGATTTGTTACACTCCCCCCTCCTCTCCTCATCTCCGCGACCCAATTTTAATTTTGCATGATTAGCTGTGCGTCATTAAGCAACTTCATTCAGTCGAGACACAGCGTAAAACTCTGACACTGTCAAGGCGGGGGATATTTTAGGAGACTGTGTATGAACGGGGTCCAAAAAAAAGCTTATTATGATGTGTGTATATATGTGCGTGTGTGTGTCTGTGTGTATGTACATTCACACACATTTATGTTCATGTGTTACATTACAAAAGCATTAATTTGAAAATTCCTATCAAAAAAAGGAGCCTGGAAAATTCTCATTTATTTACATGTACACTTTTAAAAATGTATCTGTGTGTATGTGAATATTCTGTTCAATTAAGGAATCCAAAGCAAATTTAAATCTGCATATACAAAAAAAGAAAAGCACCCAACACTCTCCTCCCCCATGGGCTCAGAAAACGTGCATCTCTTTGTATTGCTTCATTTACACAATGAATGCATAATTTCTCCTGCATCTCCCTCCCCCTCCCCCTGTTAAATGCTTTAATTTGCAGAGAGGGACCAGGGCTTGATAATGCAAATAAAGGGGGATTGTAACAAGAGCCTTAACTGGTGCCTCTTAATCACTTCTAGGTATTAAGTCATGATGCAGGAGTCGGCCAGTGAGACAATAAGCAACAGTTCAATGAGTCAAAATGGAATGAGCACCCTAAGCAGCCAATTAGATGCTGGCAGTAGAGATGGAAGATCAAGCGGTGACACGAGCAGCGAAGTAAGCACAGTCGAGCTGCTGCATCTGCAACAACAGCAGGTAAGTTGTGTTTCTCGCTCTCAGGGCTTAGATTCACACTGACACGCGGGCACACGGGCTCTAAAAAAACTCTGTGTGTTTAGATAGGAATTGGACTTTTTTGTAGGTTTTTTTGTGTGTGTAATATTTTTTTGTTTATTGATATGTTGTTTGTGTGCTGATCTTCAGGGTTGCTTGTTTGTTGTGGCAGTGTTGGTTTTGGCAGTGCTGGTTTTGCTGTAAGGAGTAGTTGTGTGACGTGTGCGGAGATTGTGATGCTTTTTTGGAGGTATTTACTGCTTTTATTTGTATTTCTGTGCCGGGGTGAACGGCACGCTGCAGCCGAGGCCATATGTGTCTGTGCGTGTGTGGGAGAAGGGGGAGTGATCCGGCGCGCGTGGATGTGTTTGGGTTCTCCAGCTGCCACCAGAGGGCGGCCTAACTCGACTTCCACTGGTCTTCTCCGCCAAAAGAGAGAGGGACTTTTCAAATGTGGCCCGTCTACTGTAATGTCTTAAGCGTTAAATGGACTATACGTACTGTGCTGCTTCTTAGAGGACATTTACATCCAGGTAGAGAACTTAGTTTAGATATTCTGTGATTGAAACATGTTTTTCTTTTTTTTTTTAGAAACATGAGGTATGTAGATATCAGGTCTTTGCAGTGCTGCTCTGAGTGTGCATGTATATGGCCGCAGTGGTTTTGGGTGACAGCAGATCAGGGGAGTTCTTCTGTGTCTCCATTCACTGACTGATGGCTTTGACAGCTCTCCAAAAGCGCAGTGCTGGGGGTCACCCTGGGCTGCAGGAGAGAGTTAAGGGCACAGAGGAGTGTCTGTGTGTGTTCATGCATGAGTTTGTGTGTGTGTGAATTTTGTTATATTTTTGCAAGTTGTCACATATTCATATTAACATAACATGAACTCTGCTACTTATTTGTGTCCTACAATGTTACCAATATATTTTGTTTTATTTGTATATTGTTTAGTTAATAATTCTACTTATTTCTAAATGTATCCATGTGTCTGTGTTTGTGTGTGGGCACATGCACCCAGAGCTGGTGTAGGCAGCTGAAAGCCATTGGTGAGGGAGCATTGTAGCAGAATGAAGTGTGTCCTGCAGGGATGTGTGGGCCCCTCTAGTACCCCCCCCCCAATACACACACACACACACACACACACACTCCAGCTGGTGATTACAACAGCACCCCGACACCATGGCCTCTCCCCCCATTCATCATCACAGCGTCTGTCTCTCTCTCTCTGTCTCTGTCTCTGTCTCTGTCTCTGCTTCCGCACACGTCTGATTGAGGTCAACCCCCTACCTCTCATTACTGTCCTCTGTTTTAACCTGCACACCTACTGCAGACTGTGTGTGGGAGTTTGTTGGGGGTGGTGTTGGTGTGGGGGGTTGTTTAGTTTGAAATGTACAACTTTAAGTGGCTGTAAATATATTATTATTTGTTGTCTAATAATTCACTTTTACATTTAAATATAGGTATACAATAATAATAATAATAATAATAATGATTATTATTATTATTATTATTATTTATGTTGTTAATATTTATACAATGATAGATTTTACATAATAGATATAATTAATTCATATACTTATATAATGAGTCATTTTTTACTTATTTATATCTTATTTGTGTGTGTGTGTATATATATATATATATATATATATATATATATATATATATATATATATATATATATAGAAGAAGAAGAAGAATGCACAAAGAAATTTGGATCACTAGCATTTTATAAATGTTTATGTATCATTCATATATATATATACATTTATAAAATGCTAGTGATCCAAATTTCTTTGTGCATTCTTCTTCTTCTTCTTCTTCTTCTTCTTCTTATTATTATTTTCTTGTTAAGAGTGCTGTAAACAGTGCTGTAGGATGCTGAGGGTCCTTTTTTATAAAGCATATGGTAATGAGTGCAGGAAAGGACAGTGAGTGTGGGCAGCAGGAGTGAGCAGAGACAGTAGAGAGAGTGACAGTGTGTTCCCATGCTCAGGCATACAGTGAGAGGGAGACAGTTTTTTCCTGTGCATTGAAATGAGCGGTCCGGCTAACAGGCCTCCAGAGGCTTCTTAAAGAGAGGCCAGATGCTGTTAACTTCACACACTTCCTGCGCCCAGCTTCCTCTTTCTTCTCCCCACTTCTCTCACATGCACGCCCGAGCCAGAGGTAGAAAATACCTACACATTTAATAACCTGCCCAATCTCTCTATTAGTACTCTCCCTCTTCATCTCTCTCTCTCTGTTTTACTTTGCATGTGGAACAGTTCCTGTAGAATGTTAACTGTGTTAATATTATTATTATTATTATTATTATTATTATGAATATTAGTATTATGCTTAATAATGATAATAATACTTAAAAAAATACTACTTATAATAATAATAATAATAATAAGTGTTGTTACTAGTCATTAGTAGTAGTCTGTTTAGCAGTCCTAGGATTAGTAAGACAGGAACAGTAGCTTTTCTCATAGGCTCTGCCTAATAAGTGGTGAATAGTAAAGACAGGCTCTTTTTAGTGTTGTGTTTATGTATAAACTTTTAAACAGCATCCTTCACCATCATTACAGACCCATAGCTTTATTTTCTGCTGACGTCTTTGAAAATCACAACCTTCTAAGATTTGGTACCTTTGTTTTATTTAAACTCCCAAATACTTTTCAGATGTTATTTTTCTCATTGAAAGGAAAAACAAATGTAATAAATTGTTGTATATTTTCTCTTACAGTTTAGTTATAAAAATATGGGGATGGAAAAGTCAAATTCATTGCCATGACGTTGTATTTCTGCTGGCATTTTGGTTCTTATTAATTATTTCACTGTTTCACTTCCAAAAGTTTTGCTCATTAAGTGTTTTCAGATGAAATCACAATAATTTCATTTCCAAAAGTTTCTCAGCTAGAGAAAAAAAGCCCCATGAAACCTCTGTCGCAGGGTGATAATAAAAATGCTTGCTGCTCTTAATATTTATTGATTATAAGTCTGTGTTGAATAGATGCTTTAATGTATGGTAATGATAATGTGTATACATGAAGGCTTTACATTGATCTGAAGATCCATACAGTAATCTACTGTAATGGAGCTGTTAGGTGATTACTGTGGTCTTCAGTCTATGCATTTTATTGCACAGGCTGTTGGCTCGAGAAGAACAGTATAGCTCAGTCAGTGAGCTTCCTTCTTGGAGAGGGAGAGCTATGCTCTGGGCAGCTTCAGACTCATCCTGGACTCCTTTATGACTTTCAGAAGCAGTTGCCAAACTCTCTATTTTATCAGAGGAAACCCACATTCCTTTCATTTTCCTCTTGCAGTGTTAGAAATGACTGCTGAAATCCAATCACTGTTCTTTGTTGAGCTCTGTAGCAGAATGATGCTGTTTGCTGAAGTTGTGTTGGCCTTTATGAATGCCATCCAGATGCAGAGGACATTTCTTTTTCATGCCCACAGCAATCGTTACAGCAAGTCGCCTGTAAGTCACTGGCCCAATGTAAAAGTGACAGCAATTAACCCAACATTTTAGCTTGAGGAGAATTTAAGATGAGATATCTGACAGCCGATGTCAGCCATTTTTTTTACTGTTCTCTGGCTTTAAGAGCAAATGAAATTGGAGGTAGCATTGGGAGGAGGTGTTGGGGGCTCACAGGATTGGGGGGTGAGACTGAAAATGAAGGCGCTAGCTATGACTGATATTATTTAATATTTGGTGCAGTGGTTTTAACCTTTTATTGTTTGATTGTATTCGATTAGTTATCTTCTTCTTATCTTCAGATAAACGTTTCACTCTTTGTGATATTACCATTGCATTTGTACTCAGTGGGACACAAACCGTTACACAGTGTTAATTGATATTCAGGAAGGCTGCCTTCATCGTCACCTAACAAACACTCACCCAGACTTCACTGGGGCCTCTGGGGCTCCATTGAGTGTCATTCAGGAGGAGCTGTAAAGGTGGAGCCACCATACAAACGCTTGCTTTTGCTTCTGTCTCTATCTCCCTCCTCGTTCTCCGCAGCGTCCACAGGGAGCAGAGAGTGCAACATCTCAGGCAGGGTGATGACGGGTTCCGCTCATCAGCCCAGTAAAAGCCCCTCTGATGCAAATAGCGCTTTGCCCTTGAGCATAATTTAAAGCGGTAATCACCCCTGGTGTCTTGGCCGTGCCGATAGGCTGAGCGGGGTGACTCTCTCATTTACACTCCAACACAGAAGCTCATTAGCTTTATCACGCCGGCCCGAGACTCCGCCACTCCAGTGTGTAAATAACACACACTCAGACATTAGGGGTAGGCAATATGGCAAAAAATGTAACATTGCGATACCTGAAGACATTTCCACAATACAGTAAGTATATGATTTGCAAGTTCAAACTGACAAAACGCTCCAGCAAAACAGCAGCGCCACAATTTTAAAGGCTTTAACAAATACATACAATGTTTTTTTTGTTTTTTTTTTTCATTTATTATTTGCAGAAATAAACTAACAAACTTATTACACACTTCTACAGTGATATGCAAAAGTTAAGTATGGCAAACTTATGGCAAATAAAATGATATGTGTATAACTTAAATATGGCATTTTTCTTCAAATTTTGGAGCACAGTTTATGTTTATTTGCTCGGTTTAACAAATTTCAAAGTAAAATATAAAATGTTAAATATACCATAACGTTTGCACAGGGTACATTTTATGTTTTTTTTTTCTCCAATATGTTAAACTCAAATTGTACATTACAGTATGCAGAAGGGAGGGCAGGTTAACTTATTTTCCCCTATTAAAAAAATTACTTACTATAGAGCAGGTATACTTACTGCTCTTGGCATAAGAATAACTCAGCTAGTTCGCATTGTAGTCTATTTAGTTACAGAATAATAAGTAGAGGAGTAGCAATGCAGCATATTTTATTGCATCGAATTGTATTTTAGCGAATCACTTTGTATCAAATTGTATTGCAGTGAACTGAATTGTATTGCAGTGCATCATAACGTAT